TGCCGAAATTTCAGATTGGTGCGACAAATAGTTACAAATACAATTATGTCATCATTGTCACAACCAAACCAATTACAATGATGACATAATTGTATTTGTAACTATTTGTCGCACCAATCTGAAATTTCGGCAAAGTCTCAAGTTACTCCTTTACTATAGACTGCTACTACAACTGTTTCGTATGGTTGTGGTAGTATCGTCCCCTTGAGTTTCCGACCTTGGTGGTTTGTACCATCGAGTTCCTCGCCCCCCGATCTCTCCGAGCCCAATAGTTTGTACTATCCAGCTCATCCTAACATTGAGCGCCCCGACCCCTCCCGCCTCATTTTAGGTGGGCGACTTAATCTCAGATCAGAATTCTGACGTAATATTATTTGCAGCTGTTTGTCTCGCCATCTCACATTTCGCCAAAGTTCCCAAGTTACTCCTTACTGCTACTACAACTGTTTCGTACGGTTGTGGTAGTATTATCTTACCCCTGATTTTTCGAGCTTGATGGTTTTGTACCGTCGAGATCATCATTCACAGATCTCTTCGAGTTCGATAGTTTGTACTATCGAGCTCACTCTCAATACACTCGTTCCAACGTCACTACTCTTTCGATGGATTCATAGCCGTTTGGATGGGCGAGCTCTGCTTGCGTGTCCACCCAGTCAACTTGACGCCCAACGATGCGGAGACATGTTCGGATTTGGATAATCCTTAAGAATACCCTCCGCTAGACCATACGTAGGTGCACATGTGAACGACCAATTGGTCACCCACTTAAGGCAAGCCTGGGTAAAGAATGATATGGCCAATCGATCGATGTACACTTGGCTCTTTGTTTGTACTGTTGAGCTCATCGTCCATGGCCCGGGGAAGGGGTCATATATACACTGCGTAAGTATCACCCAGCACACCCATTAACTCACTGCTGAAGGGGTTATACACCGCATAGGTTTCACCCAGCGCAATTCGACAACTGCCTCATAGGACACCATATCTGTTTCCCTGCTCTTCTCAACTCCACCGTACATACAGCGGAGGGGCATAGCAACACAATTTTTTTCGTAAGTTAACAGTATGTCTATCATTATATGAGAATAACATCTTTCCCCCCTGAACTATCTTCCCTAGTATCAACCCGTCATACCCTCAGCGCCTCATAAAATACCCTCTCGGCTTCAGCAGCGATCTCGTCTTTTTCACCAATGGCGCTTTCTTCACCTACATCTCCTTCCGCCTCTCGAATGGCCTCCATAAGCCTTTCTGCCAATTCGCGCAGCATCAGGATATCGCTCTTTTCGTGGTTTTTTTCTTGTGCATGCGGTACTTTGTCCAACACCGCTTCGCGCACACTCACTTCAAGATTATTAGCGAAGAACACCTGTGTATGTCTCATGCGCTGGCCAAGGTCTGCTGACAGCGCCATCGTGTCCTGGAGACATAAGTTAGTGAATTATATTGCCAAGTTAATGATGACTAACATAGTTCACATAGTTCATCAAGAAACATAAGGTCACCAATAGGGCACTTGTGTGAATCAGGATTGTGAAAATGCGCGTTAGTGCACATGACAGAGACCAGGATTCTTTCGAGGTGATGGTTTCCTTTTTCATGCCATAGCCGTAGACCCATAAATTGACTGTAGCCTTATGCCTTAGTGCTTGCGATGCACTGGCAACTATGCAGCGCCCGTTAATATCACGTGTCTGAAATACAATCAGCACCACATCTCCGAATCAAGTCAACACCTATGGCTATTGTCTGCACCAGGCCAGCATTGGAGTGATGAAGACTCTCCAGTAACTTCCCCGTTTTCCTCTCGAATATATATACCAAACCATTGTCACTCCCACCTACCACCAACCTCCCTTCGGCACCGAATGCCACCTGCTTTGGGACTGATACACTGGGAGGAGCGGTGATGAAAGTTCGAACTGGCTCCTCATCACCGAGAAGTCGGTACAACGTAAACCCGTCGGTTGCGTTGTCTACCACGAACACACCCCTCTTCTGGTTGATTGCCGCATGTCCGCTGAAGGAAGAGCATCAGTCATACTTCGGCAGCTTGCGGTGAATCCTCACATCACCGATTGGCAACTATATTCCTTCACTACTGTGCCGTCATCCCCCTTCAGCTTGATGAAGTTGCCGTCATATAGTCCAAACACATAAACATTTTTATCATCTGCAAATGCTACAGACTTCGGCACAGTGTTGTCCAGTCGCACCGCGAAAACGGCCTCCAGTTGCGAGTTCGTGTTTAGAACAAGTACCTGAACTATCTTGTCCCTTGTTCCGACTGCAATCCGAGTACTCCCTTCAGAGGACATATCCCATGACAGACATGTAATCTCGAAGCCTGATCCGAGCCTCCTGGTGCAAGTCTCCTGAAAAAGCATCTGTTCGACATTAGGTGAGAACTCGATGATGAACAGGACATCCTTACATCTACTGGGCTATGTCGCAAAAACACGATGTAACCAAGCCCTGTTCCATAGCAAAGGGTTTCTGTCATGGCCAGTCTTGTCGTAATCCAGACAGCGCAGCTGACTGTGCCTCGGGACTCGTAGTTATGAGATGAGCATGTGAGTTCTTTCCAAGATTTGATATCCCAGACTTTAATGCCCTCGGTGCCTGTTTATTTTATTAGTGCTCCAATAATTAGAACGTGTGTGATTTACCGCCGCATGCAAGAGCTTGGCCATCATTAGATACTGCGAGCGCGTGGACAGACCCACTTGTTGTGAGGCGGGCTTGATGCTGGAAGCGTTGGGTTGACTGCCTGAATGGAGACCAGGAATAAAAAAACATCGCTGGGGTGATCTTAATCGGTGTGTGCTCAGGTCAGGTTCTCAAGTTCACTAGCTCAATTCAACAATCTTTATACTAGGGGCTTTTTGTGATTCCATGGCGACTTTGTGCTTTCTGGCTGTTTGTATTCATCTTTTATGAGCGACGTGTCAGCCTTTCCTAGACAACCTCGCTTTTTGTTGCTTTTTGTTGATTCTTCGTCTTTTGGCATTTTTTTAATTCTAATTACGACACTTATCTTTACGACTTTCGTAGTAATTTGCTTCGAAACTTCGTGTCGTTGATCCCGGTCTTTATTGTTTTAACGTAATATTGTTGCTCTAATGTGTCAACTCATAAAACCTACTAGATCCAGCCGCTCACGTCGCCAGCTTGACCCACTAATATCGCCAGCCTGACCCGCTCACATCGCCATCTTGATCCACCTTACATTGACTTACAGATCATGCGCAACACATCGAAAGCTGTCTCTCCCTTTCACGATCCAGAGCCTGGTGCTCCACCCCCCTTCCTGCCTATGCTTACCGACCAGCTCGAACTTTTTGGCAGCCCTCGTCATTCGACTATGCTCATTACTGATGAGATTCTCCTGCCAAAGGTTAGCATCATTTTTTTTGTCTTGCTCCTCATACTGAGAGCATTTGCAGCCCAAGAACACGCTGGTGCCTGAGTTCAAGCTTGCGGTACGCCCATCCAAGAATACCCATCCTTCCTCACCATACCCGAAGAGAGTCTCTCTCGAGCATTCTCGTTCTCGTTCTCGGACACCCATTCCCTCGGATTCATCAGGCTCCTTCGATTCGCTATCAGACAGTGACTCGTCAACTTCGGCTGCAAGTTTATCAGAAGACTCGAAGATTCCAAAGCCTGCTGGTGAGCCCGGTCGTCCTGGGCGTGGAGGATACACGCTCCGCGAGGCTTTGGATTGGAGTCCAAAGGCATACACCAAGTTTAAGGTTAGTAACACACTCCCACTGATGTATGCCTTTTATTTATCGACACCTCTAGAATTCTATGCACCACCTCATCGAAGAGCACCTCGATACGACAAAGTGTGCCTCCTCCCAAAGTCCTATCCTTCTGAAGACTGTCCGCGACAAAGTCAGTACTCGATCTTCATTTATCCATGACCTCATGGTTTATGGTTTATTAGGCTGTCGATGCTTTCCCGACCTAGAAAATTATAGCGAATTCTGGCCAGTTAACGATATGATCATGATGCGCCTGAAATATACATCAGGTCGTGCTAGGCAGAAAGAAGCAGGGATGGTTATGGGAAAGAGTAAGAAACATACTCCCAAGGTCAGTATATTCTACTCCGAAAGTCGACGCTAATACAATGACATCTACAGAAAAGTTGATTCATTCTCACTATACCCGTAACTTAACTTAGATGAATCCCCTTATCATTACCATGTTTGTGATCACAATGCCCAAACTAGTTAGAGTACACGCTTCAAATTGTCTTGGTCTAATTATCCCGTGGGTATATCACATGTTATTGAAAGACTGACAAGTGAATGTGTGCTAAGCTTGTCACATGGTGTGAAATTTTCAAATTGACAATTACATATGTACTCTCAGTGACTGCGCGTTACTTCACTCTCTAGTGCGCCTGCAGTACTTGCAGTACTTCCATAGTCATTTACTACCTTATTTCAAACACTGGGATGCAAGACGAGTGATCTTCCGAACAGTAATATATGTTTGGGTCAAACATGCTGCATTCGGATATGCTAATATTATCTTCCTATTATCTTCCTGTGATAGCAGTAGCCTTGTTAGGCGGCTTTGAGAACAGCGATGTTTCAGCAACCACCATGTCAAAACATTTTCTCTCGTCTGAACTCAGGCTAAAAATCGCTTCGTTACACCCACTGGGTGTCATCCAATCCGACATCTCCTCCATGGACAAACTGACATCCTGTGAGCTCAATCGCCTGATCACCCAAGAAACCCGCCGCGAAGGAGATGCTAATGATATGGGACATCTATTACCTTTGATCTTCAATTCGTTCGACCCCGCGAACTTGCCCGCAACAGATACCCTTGTAGATTCAACCAACAAGCCGCTCTACGACACTACCACGAAACAATGGCCCTTAGCGCTTCCCAGGAAGGGTGAGGCCATCGAGAAGACATTCCCATTCTTCCTCAACAACCTCACCAAAGCCCTCCTCCGATCATTTCCTTCGTTAGGCATGTTTCCTCCACTATGGTACGGTTCAAGTTCTACCGTGCCCGTTGAAAGCGAGCATGTTCAACGAAAACCCGATGTCTGCTTATCCGAGCACACGGAGTTGCGTTGGAACACTATACTGGTAGTCGCTGAGCTCACCACAACCTCGTACACCCCTTCAATACCTGCCGGAAAGACGCTTGACACAAAGGCATGGCTCATTTTCAGAGAGCAACCGTGGAGGCGTTTCGTACTATCTCTTTCCTTCAGCAATAATTATCACGAACTCCGTGTACATGTACATGACCATTCGGGCGGCATCGTGACCCCAGAAATCAATATACATGAGAATCCTGATGCTTTCAAACGCGTCATGGCATGCATCGTTTTTGGTCGACGTGACTGCATTGGATTTGACCTCACGATCACAATCAACCCAAAGATGACGAGCTTGTTGTCCGGGGCATTTTGGGCCCGAAACATCAAAGGTCTTCCCAAGCGAAGGAGTCGAGCCGCCCGCCTGAAGCCCCGCAAGCTATCTTCACTAGATGCGCAGATAGTGCTGACACAATCTCACACACTGGACACACAGACAAAGTTTCATTCGCTTCCGGACCATCTTCCATCTCCCGACAAGTTCGCAAATGAGCCTGAGGCAGACTCCACTCCCCTTGTTGATGCGCCAGATCTCAAGAATACAGACGCTGAGGTTGACGATGTGATAGGACAGATCGCCTTCAATGAAAATGTATACAACTTGCTGAAGGTGATCTTCTGCAATCAAGGACTTGTGGGCTGCGGAACCGTTTGCTACCTGGCTCGGAGAGATGGCGAGGAGTTTATTATTAAGGATCATTGGGTGAAAGGCGACAAGAGTGTAGTGTTGAATGAGGTGGAGATGCTGAAAGCTCTGAAGGATATCCCTGGTGTTCCCCAATACGTGGAACACTGTCTCATGGAGGTAGAGCCGGGCAAAGTCGACGATACGCAAATGTATCGCCAGAAGATCTATAATAGCACCCAAGGTGTCTATCGCACGCATGTCCGTCTCATCTTGAAACCACGGGCTCGTCCTTTACACGAGTTTTGAACTAGAAAAGAGCTCGTCAAAGCGTTACGTGATATTGTGCTAAGTAAGTGAGCCTGTCGTATTAGTTAGTACATATCTGATTGAACCGTCACAGTTCAAAAGCGTGCAGTTGAAGAGCACCAGGTTTTGCACAGAGACTGCAGTCTAAATAACTCCATGATAGAAGACACCAAATATGGCAGTCGAGGGGCGCTAATAGACTGGGAATTCGCGGCACGCATCACATCAGACGATATGTATTCTGCCAGTGGAACAGTAGGCGCCTTATTTGTTCGGTGAGCAATGAATGACTAATTTTTCAGGGAACCATACCCTTTATGTCCATCAGCGCCCTTAGGGCAATGGGCAAGCTAAATTATCAATACTCGCAGGGTATGAAGTCGGTAAAAGAGCTTAAGCTAGCCACGGACCATTCGACTCCCCAAAAGATGCCCAAAATCAAGCATACATACCACGACGACCTTGAATCGATGTTTTACGTTTTTGCCTGGATTGGCATAATGTTCAAGGGACCTATGGGTGAAGAGCGCTGCCTTGAGGATGTCGTGGACCATGATCCTGACAAAATGGAGATGTGGCTACCAGAGCGATGGCATGGTACGCCGGAAGAAGTCACTCAAAAAGCCGAAGCGAAGCACTATTTTTTCCTTGGAGATTCGATGAAACAGTGCATCGGAGAACAATTCGCCCCCTATTTCCAAAAGCTCGTTCCTCTAGCAGAGGAGTGGTATGACCTCATGAGTGAGAAGAGGATGAAGGTCGAGTTTGACGAAGTGGTCTCATTATTCGACAAGCACATCAACGCGCTTCCGGACGAAGAGGACTCTGATGAGTTGTTGAAGAAGGCCAAGAGGTTGGGTGATGGGAAGGAGGGGAAGAATGACATTACTCCCGCTCCGTCGAAGCGAACTAAAGTTGAAGTGAGCTTGTAACGATTTACTTAGTTTACGTTTACGTGCATCATGACGGTCGAATAAACTGTGCGTGACGGATTTGTCACTGGCTACGTCGACAAAGGTATTTTGATGGGTCTGTAAAAGATGCAATGAGATAGTGTCTCGGTAATGCAAGATGCCATTGTTATTGTGCAGTGAAGACAAAAGATAGCGTCCCAGCAGTACAAACGGCTTGGTGAAGCAGTGAGGGAGAAAGGTAGCGTCGTCCTAGCAGTACAAATGGCTTGGTGAAGCAGTGAGGGAGAAAGTAGTGTCGTCCTAGCAGTACAAACGGCTTGGTGAAGCAGTGAGGGAGAAAGTAGCGTCGTCCCGGTACAAACGGCAGGAAAGGTAGCATCCCAGCAGTACAAATGGCTTGGTGATGCAGTGAGAGGGAAAGGTAGCGTCGTCCCAGCAGTACAAACGGCTTGGTGAAGCAGTGAGGGAGAAAGGTAGTGTCGTCCTAGCAGTACAAACAGCTTGGTGAAGCAGTGAGGGAGAAAGGTAGCATCCCAGCAGTACAAACGGCTTGGTGATGCAGTGAGAGGGAAAGGTAGCATCGTCCCAGCAGTACAAACGGCTTGGTGAAGCAGTGAGGGAGAAAGTAGCGTCGTCCCGGTACAAACAGCAGGAAAGGTAGCATCCCAGCAGTACAAACTGCTCGGTGAATAGTCGTAAAGTGACGTAAAGTGACATCGCCTAAGACACCATCCTCCAGCTGTACAAAACCGCTGAGTGATGGTGGGTGTGGGAGTCGACAGAAAGAAAGTGCGCAATATATTAGGAGTCATTTAAGTTTTTTAAGTGTCAATTGACAGGTGTTTGCGACCAACTCAAATTATTTCCTTATTTGGTTACCACGAGCTCATATTATGTCCTATCTATCTGTATGGCCATAATATGGGTTATATAAATAGAGTTCTGACAATTCCAGATCCGAATCCTCCCATTGCATCTCGGATCACAATTCAACTTCTGAGGCACGACGATTTGTATTGTCGTGACTAGTCAACCTTGGACTTGTAGCGATATTCAGTACTTAATTTAGTGACTAAATCTGAATCTATACCATATACCGTCACAATTCAACTTCTGGGGTGCGATGATTTGTATTGTTGTGACTAGTCAACCTTGGGCTTGTAGCGATATTCGGTACTCAATTTGGTGACTCAAGAAATTCATCTTACGCAATTTATTGACTCCACAAATTTATTCAACATTATCAACTGCCGGTCTACTAGCATCAAACTATGAACCTGTCAGCCAGCCGATGATTAACACGAGCGCTCAAGGGCTTCACGAGCGTGAGAGTGCGTGGTAGTTTTCCATGATATCAAATGCTTCGTATAAAGCTGATAGATTCTAAATCAGCGGGGATTGATTATCACTGGGTACTGCTCACTTGTGCATGATAAAGTCGGCTAGCGCATTGTCCCTTCCCCGCATGTTTACAACAGAGCCGGCGCTTGTGCCAACCCTAGTAATAGCTGCATCACCTCGGAATACATTGCCATCGCTGCTGAGAAGGGTGTTGATTCTCAGATGACAATGCCGCTTGAAAAAAATACAGAACTGATAGATGTGTCTCCCTTCATGAAGGGTGACAAGACAGTTGTGTACGTAAGGTTGTACAGTAGCGTCATTTAAGAGGCTCTCGGGAACGGGAAAGCGCTTCGCGTTGCGCGAGCGATCAGAACATCGTGTAAGCATGGTAACCTGGCGAGGTCTGCTCCACGATGCAGAATATAGCCTACACCGCACATGGAATTCAAGAGTCTGATTAAGCTGTAAGCGAAAGACCAGGAGAAATTCAAGATAACTTGCCGACGATGTGGGTAAGATATACGTGCGAGTGTTGACCATTTTGATAAAGATAAAGGAATGACCAATGAAATTAGTTGTAGGCGACCAGCGCTGAAGATAACTGGGGAGGTGAGAGCGGGCGATGAGAGTGGGCGATGAGAGCGGGCGATCTTATAGTATTTTACTAACCCCAAAGCACGCTCCGCACGGAGTATTCTGCAAGCTGAATTCGTCATCTTTATTTGTTTCATGGAATGAAGCAACCACGGACAATAATCTAGCAGAGTATCGTAAGCCCACCTGATCTCAGACTTAAGACTTTGTAAACTGACTTTTTTGTTTGTAAAAAAATGGCACTATTGCCCCCGAACATCCACAGCCTAGCCTCAAAAGTGAGAATCGTGCAACGTCGTTCACAATACAGAACACCCAAAAAGCGGATGCGATGATATCACGATTTAATTGTTAGGGTTGCATATAAGTGGGATAATGCGTATGGAGCCCAGAAACTAACGTTGACGCTGTAGAGACTCGTGCATCTCATAGTGTGATATGGCGCTTTACACTAGGGAGTATACAGCACCAACTCGCAGCATCACTCTGTGTACCATCCACAGTGATTCCTATATGACGCGCAGCTTTCCCGCGCAACGCGCGCCATGCGCGCACCATTCCCGCGCTTCACGATGTATACGCGCGCGCGCGTTCCCACGCTTGCGCGCCCTATAGCGCCAGCCATCCAGATGCATCCATCCACTGTCCACCAAGCTCCCTAGTGCGTATATTTCCATTTCCTTTATTAGCATAGTTCCACCTTTATTTTTATCATAGTTTCTCACTCATATATATTTTTACATACCTACTCGGTAGCGCTTCGGCTCCGCATGAGCGCGCTTAGGCGCGCTATATAAGTGCCAGCAGTACATACTATTATTTACCTTACTTTTCACCCAACTTTACCTAGTACTTTCTACTTAGAAAGTCGCAGTAGAAATCTATTCATTAGCACAACACATCTCACATCCTTTATCTTGCTTATATCTTCACATAAGTTTAGTCTCTCTTATTTCCGCTTACACGCGCGCGCTTTCCCGCGCTTCGCGCTAATACGCGCGCGCGTTCCCGCGCCTTCGTACCTTGCGCGCACCTGCGCTTTCTCGCGCTTCGCTGAAGTGCGTACCTCTAGATCTCCGCTGCACCTGCTTCCCCTTTAGGGTCGAATGCACTTGCCATCTCAAGTATCGCAGACTAGGCAACGCACGACCTACAACTTTTTAGATACAGTCAGGAGCATTTCTTTGTTCCTCTCAGTATTGTTGTTTCTACAACGCTACACTCTTCTTACTCAACCCTATTAACATGCCACGGCTGGAGCAGGAAGACATCCAAACATCCTATGATGCGAACTTGTTTGATGATGACGACATGGAAGACGATATGGAAGATGCTGCCGCGTTTCAAACTGCAAATCATATAGACTTCAGTCTAGCAAGGACGACTCAGATAGACAAGAGGGAGGCATCACGGATGGACCTAGATGATGCCACTGGACAGCCCCCAACTAGTTTCGATAAGGAGAAAAGGTTCAAGACGGTACGTCTGGGTGTATAAGGTTAATGTCGAGCTCAGTGTCTGTCCAGGTATCAGATAAGTGTCGTATCAAGGAAGTAGATTACTCGGCAGAACTGCGCGAAACGGTGTACAGTCAAACGGAACAGATCAACCACATGAGACGTGAGATGCAAATGGTTTGTAGTAAGCTCACTAGACATTACGGATATCTGGCTCACGGCCGTGTAGGAAGCTCAAAACCTACAACAAGCACATTTGTCCAGCATGGAAGATATCAGAAAACAGTGGGAAGTAGCTCTGAGAGAGCAGGAAGCGCAACTCACCAAAGAATTCGAGGTAAATCATTTGGACGCTCGAATGACAGACACCCGTTGATGACAGTGACAAGGCTAGCCGCGCCGAGCAGCACCAACAGCTTGAAGATTATATGAGAAGTCGTGAAGCGGTCGGCCACGCGAATCGTGAGGCGGTAGAAACTAGCGTGCAGAAAATTCTAGAGGATAGTCGCAAACACTTTGAGCAAGAACTAGCTCAGCGTGAAGAAGAGTTCAATAGAAAGAAAGAGGAAGAGGTAAGGTGAATAACTTGTCACGAAAGGTGGTCAATGACAACCACGTAGTTTCTAGAACGCGAGCAAGCGAGATTCGGCGAGATGGAGCAGAGGCTGAAGTCCGAAGTCGATAAGTTGAGGGTGAGGATATTGATTCGTGGCTGATGAGTATGCTGAAAATGCCCCAGGCGGAAAAAGAAAGCGAGCTGGCCAACATGGAACAGCGGTTTTCCAGGAGTTACAGATTACCGGATAGGGATACAGAAATGGATGACAGCCCCCGTCCATCCGCAAAGCCATCGTCAGGTACCCCATGCCTTGATACCATCAAGAAGTTAAAGAGAATTCGTGGAATATCGCGCAGGACTCGCCTTTTATCAGTACCTGCGGAGGTGAGTGCCTGGTATATTGTTGGATATGATGTAAACTCATGATACTAGGCGGACATGCAGGAAATCCATCAAGAACAATCATTCGAGAAAGATGCACCACGTCAACAACATGATGCTCCACCTATGGAAGATGCGATTGCAAGAGGTGTGGAGGCCGCGCTGAGGCGCATTCTCATCGAGAAAGACTTCCCGCTCGTCAAAAAACGCAGTCCCCAGAAGAAAAAGATAGAGGATGAAGAAATTCGGCGAGAGAAGGCTGCCGAACTGAGCTGCGAAAGAGATTTTCTTCTGGTAAGCCGCAACATAGTATCGAGTTTGATTCCCCTTACATTGAAGTAGGGAGAAGTGCGGTGTTTGTTGAAAGATGTTTTTAAGATCACTCAGGATACCGATTTCATAGTCCATGAGGCGGCGAGTCGCGAGGATGTCTACTCATATGAATACGAAGATGGTCCAGGTCCCGATCTAAAAAATTTTACCTTTGATCTAAAAAATGGATCCAAAACCCCCTGGAATAGCAAGATTATTGATGTACTCCTCGAAGAAATACAGAAAAGGTGCGATGAAGAGAAGTGGCCATTCCAGAGGTCAGAGGCGTATTTCAGGGAAATCCTTCAAGACCGTTACAAGCGCTTGCGTATGATCTGGACGGCCGCGCAGCCCAAGGTCACAGCGAAGGG